TGCAAAGAATAATTTTTGTGCTGGAATTTTTTTGTTTTACTGGAATAATACAAAAGGGAAAAGATAAATGATGTGATCTCCCTTGGCTGAATCTCCAGCAAGGGGAAACTTGCAGAGCTCAGATAAAAATGCCAGCCTGAATTTAATCTGTAGATTCTGATCTTTGTTTATAGCAAACTGTTGGCTTTGTCTTCAGCAGGGCTGGAAATGTAAGTGGTTCATCATTATTATGCCATCCAGATATGACAGTAATGAAACTATATCAAAACCTATCCCTAAACCCACAAAAAATTAAATAAAACCACTATTGAAGTGTTCAGTTCAATCCTTCTACCACATTTGTTGTTTTGACTTGTTTTCCACAGGGTGTTCCCAAGGGAGAGAAGGAAAGGGGAAGATAAATTGTGGGAATGCCAAGAGGGAAGGGCACTAAACCTAAGGAAATCAGTGAGGAAAACTAAAACTTCTAAGGAGGACTCTTGAGTCTGGCAGGGGGAAAAACAAACAAAAAACCCAAACCAAACCAAAACCAAAAACCAAAAAAACCAAACCAGAAAAAAATGAAGGCAAATCCAGACTCTAAAAAATTTTCACACACAATTAACAATTTGAAGATGTAACAAAACCATGTGCAGCGAGTTTTCCATCAGAATTGACCAATTAGTGAGACAGAACATAACCTGAGTGAGTCAAAACTAATACTGAGGAAGTCGAATTGAAGAATTATTGAAGAACTCAGGGTGGGTGGTTCCACAGAGCCCTCTGAGCCTCATCATCTCCTCATCCATGTGCTTAAAGCCCCAGCTGACAAACACACTCCAGCAGATGCCTGCTTTTAATCCATTTAAGCCAACAGGATAATTCAGTTACACATAATCACAATTAAAAAGCTACATAAATACACTATGAGAGAGAGGGAGGAAGTGGATTTGGTCTCCTGATGGTACCTTGAGCAGAATGTTGTGTCTGTGCATGGCCATCACACCCCTCTAGAAAATTCCCTGCAGGGTTTTGTTTCTTACTAGAAAATCCCACAAAAATCCACTTTTGGAAGAGGTCTGTCTAAGGATTCTCCATGAGCTTTAGTATAAGTCTCTGTTTATTTGGTGAGAGTTCTTCTCTATTTGTCTTCTTATAATATGTATTGTGAATCTGTTAAGATTGTGGTGGTAATATATTTGCAGTCATAAGTTACTAGATCATAATTACTAAAAGTGTTTTTTAATAGTTGCTTGAAGTAGGGAGAACTTAAGCTGCTCTCTTTGATTGTTTGTCTCAAGTCTTTAGTTATGCCTTGTGTCAGTGGCACATAATTGGGATTTGTATTTTGTTTGCCATATTTTATTGGTATGGCTATTAATTTTAGTTATGCTGTGTGTCAGTGGCACAAAATTGGGATTTGTATTTTTGCCATATTTTATTGGTATGGCTATTAATTGGGATTTGTATTTTGTTTGCCATATTTTATTGGTATGGCTATTAATTGGGATTTGTATTTTGTTTGCCATATTTTATTGGTATGGCTATTATTTGTGTTGGTGTCATGTCAAAATCTCCTTCCTTTAATGTTTTTTTCTTTCCTAATTTCTGCTTAACTGGTAGAATTTGGAATGTCTCTTGAAGGATCTTTTGTATTATTATCTGAGCTGACTCTTGGAATACGAGGAAATGGGACTAATTATCTGTTTGTGTTCTGTGGGTTTGTGTCTTGCAAAGATGCTCCTTCTTCAGGCTTTGAGGCTGTATTCCTTCCTTCATTCAGTGTGCCTAGAGACAAATCTAACAGACTGGGACATCTGGGAGGAGGAGAAGGAGTGAGGGACCTTTACAGAGTCACCAGTGCTGAGTTTCCTTGTAGGAAACAAGGAAAACAAGGAAACGAGTTTCCTTGTGGTGTGGGACAAGGGGCCTTGCGCAGGTTCTGGGTTTAAAGATCATTTTAAACCTGCTCCATTTAGTCATAAAAACAAGCCCTGCTTGTCAGCTCAGGGTCTCTGCCCAGTGAAAACAAGTTGATTTTTTCACCCAAGCAGCAAGACTTTTCTTTCCCCCAGGAGTGAGTTTATCCATAAAGCAGGACCAAGGACCACACACCACTCTGCAAACATCACCCAGTGCTGGCTCACACCATCCCTCACTGATGCTCATCACATGTATTTTATATTTTATATTTTGGCTGCACTGGCCCTGAAATGCTTAAAGCCACGTTCTCAGGCACTGTGGCCCATAGAAATGCTTAATAAATTAATTTTTCAGGGTGTTGGTTCCTGTTGAACTCAGTAGCAATCCAAGCCTCTGAGTTTAAAATGGTGGAGAGTTAACACCACACCTAAAGTGTCCCAAACTAGATAAAATGAAGTAAAAATGCAGTAAAGCCTATTTAAAAAGGGTTTTTTTTTATTACATAGACATCTTCTTGTGTTGAAGTTCCTACTTGATTGAAGCATTGACACATTTGTTGGTGGAGAACTTAACGTATTTTTGTGTGGCTAGAGCACAAAACATAACTTAAAGTCTTCTTACTGCAGCAGGTAATATCAAATTGAGGACTTTGGTGCCTTCATCAGAAATGCTGGGAGAGGTTTCTATTAATTTGGATTTTATAGTCCTAAATTTGTTCTGTCTTTACCCTTTCATTCCCTAAAGGAACGAAGCGCGGCACTTCCTCATCTAGAGAAACACTTTTATTGCTTTGGGTTTGCCCTGTTCTAAACCAGAGTAGCAGTGAGAGCATTCAGCAAATTGTTTGTTCAGATTTCTCCCCAGACTGAAGGAGCTCAAGGCCACATCCATTACATACACAGCCTTCAATGAATTTTGTATAAAATTCTGACTCTTTGAATTAGCACCAGGTCTCCCAAGCCAAGCTTTATCCTGCAAGTTCAAAGCACAAACTAAAGCCAACCTAACCCAACCAGGAACACAATGGATTGTATAACAATTTTTCCTAACAGATTAATGTTAGGAGAGGCATTTTGTGTCAGTGTTTTTAGACTGTGACCTAAAAAGTTGCCCAAAATGCTGGTTCAAGACTGGTGCAGATTTTGCAAGGGGTATGCTCAGCCTAATGTTGTACAGACAGATTTGTCTCACATCAATTTATAACTGTTATGTGTCATCCAGCCATTCACCCTGAGCTGGCAATCAACTCAAAAATCTTCTGATTTCTACAACAAAAATGTTGTAGCCATGGGGCTACCTGAAACTGCAGGTATTCTGGATTCTGCAGGTAAATTCTGTATTTACTCCCAGAAATGTTTCTGCATGGATGAGAAGCAAACATTTCTCACTCAGCTCTCTGCAGCTGTGCCTCAGTCCTGATCCAGCAGAATCCAGGGCAAACTCCCACAGGGATCAGAGGTGGGTTCACACTCCATGGCATGTCATGGCTTGGCTGCTCTGCCAATTGGTATTGACAATTAATCTGTGTCAATTTGTTCCAGTTTCCATGTCTTTCTACCCATTCATGGACCTTCACAAGAAAATCCCATTCCAAGAGTTCAGATCCTAGTGAATCACAGAGAGGAAGGAGCACACAGGGAAAGGAATCATTTTTTGGGAAAAGCTGAGAGGAGGCTGCTCTGGGTTTCAACTGAGAGATGCTCAAGCAGAAAGGTCATTATAACAGCAGGGACAGGACTCAGGGTAAGAATACAGGAAAGCCAGCAAGCAAGGATGAAATTGGGTGGATGGAAAAGTGAATCTTTTTTTCTGGTGGTGTATGACATAAAAAACAGGTCCAGAGCTATCAGCAAGCAGCTCATTAGTGCTCTGAATTTACTATGGAGGGCTCCTGTTTTTTGTTTTTTGTTTGTTTTTGTTTTTTTTTTTTGTTTGTTTGTTTTTTTTTCCCTGGATAACTTCTGAGCACATCTCTTCATTTTGGTGATTTCAATTTCCTGCCTAAATTTATTCATGACTGGTGTCCTCTTACGTCAGTGTTGCCTGTAGATAAACAGCCCTTCTCCCTCCTTAATGTTTGCTCCAGCTGATAACACTGAGTTTGAAAGGCAAAAAAATGACCCAACTCCTTTATTCCCCTTATTTATCATCCCAGTAGGGAAATCTCGCAGTTGCAGACAGCGAGCGTGGGATACTGATTCAGATGAAAAATGGATGATGATGTCTGCACAGAGATTTCCTGCCTGAAGTCCTGCAGGGATCTGGTCACTGGAGCCCAGAGAATCACCCACATGCAGGTGCCTTCTCCCAAAGGACTGAACAGCATTCCAGACTCCAGGGAACAGATTAATTAGAGTCCACCATCTATGGATGCACATAACAAACACACAGCTCATGTGGAAGTACTTATCCCATAGATAACTAAAATTAGTTATGTGAATTTGGATTTGACTCCCATCCTCATGGAAGGAAAAGGTTTCATTGAATCCCTAAACAAAATCCCTAAAATCCTTTGACCAGGATATCCAAGAAATTAGTATGTGGCTGGGAGATGGACACAGGACTGACAGGAGCCTCAGAATCCTGTACAACCTCATTGTGGCTTTGACCTGATGAAATCCTTAAGGCTCAAAACCACCTCTAAGACCATCAAGTCCAGCTTCAGAAAGGACCAGATATAAAATATAAATATATACATGTTGGACTCTGGTAATCAATTTATTCCTTCTAAAATCCTTAAGGTTCAAAAACACCTCTAAGACCATCAAGTCCAACTTCAGAAAGGACCAGATATAAAATATAAATATATACATGTTGGACTCTGATAATCAATTTATTCCTTCTCCATGTAAGTCAAATGGCAGAAATTATGGATTTTTTTTCCTTTTAAAAATGAGGAGGATTTGAAATCTTCTCAAGGTACCACCTCACATGCATTTGCAAGGTAATTTTTGGCGCATTTCTTAAGAGGGGCAACAAAATGAGGTGGAAATTTTGAGGCTACTAAAGCACCACTTCACATGCATTTGCAAGGTAATTTTTTGGCACATTTCTTAAGAGGGGCAACAAAATGAGGTGGAAATTTCAAGGCTACTTACTGAACTCACGAAGCAGTGCTCGGACTCCCCACTTTCAAACAGGATGACATCCTTGATGAAGACTGCGATGGCTCTCATGATGAAGGACATGAAGAGGTGCATGTGAATGTAATTTCGAGTACAGTGTAGTTTTCTGTTGGAAAGAAATGAAACATTTCTGAACAGCAAATCTTCTCAAAAGCATTGTTTTTATATTTACACGTTTCTTCTGCTATGACATAGAGTCCCAATTAAACATTAGAAACCCTGAGACAGGCTCTGGTGATGAGCATCACCACAAATCCACTTAAGCCTCCTTAATTCCACAGAACGTGGCAATCCATGTATCTGTAGCAGTACTGCTGCTTTTTCAATCCTCAGAAAAACAGGAAAAAATACAGGATGACAGAAAACAGGTCCATCCCACTGCTCTCCACTGGAAAAGAAATGTTTTTGACTGAGCAGACTGCGCTCATGATAAAGGGCTTTTTTCTACAGAATGTTTCTGCTGCTGTAATTCTTTTCAAAGTGAAATGTCTCTTCAAGCAGGCAAATAAATTCTTAGCATCTGTTGCCAGAATTAACACATATTACAGACTTTCTGAAATAATATGAACTATATTTTCATTTAAAAATTACTGGTTGTTAACGATACTGAGAACTACACCAGAGTTTTTCTATCCCTTGCCTGCTAATATTTTGAAGACGAATTCTGATCAAAGAGGAAACTTTTTTCAAGAGAGAATTTCCATCAGCCAAAGTGAAAGGCCTGATAGTCTGGAAATGGGCACTGGCAGAGGTTGTGCAGCTAATCTCTGATGATGGCAAAGTAATGGGGCTGAGCTGAGTCCCCTGTGCCTGCAGGCCAAGGCAAGTCAAGTTAAACTGTTTTCCCCCAAGGAAAACCAGGATCCTCAATGGTTTCACCAGCCTGGCTGGCACTTTGTATCTTTTGGAGGTAATTGGCATGTGTCTGATTGACTTCTCCATTGTAAGAGGAGTGGAGAGAGCACTTGGGAAGAGAAGTGCTGAGCTCCTGAAGGGTGAGGCCAGCATTGATGTGAGTTACCCTAGAAAATGTGCTCTGTCTTACATGAGGAGATGGAACCTCATCCAAAGGGCTCTTCCATCTCAGCTTTTTGCTCATCTCCCTTTACATAAATTAATTTATAATAGGAGATGATATATATGCAGACTTCAAATTTAGATGCCTGAATCTATTGCAAAAAAATAGAGAGCAAGGTACATATATGCAGACTTCTTCATTGGGGGCACCCAAATTTAGATGCCTGAATCTATTGCAAAAAAATAGAGAGCAAGGATTAATCCATTTGCTGCAGTCTGGGATTCCAATGCCACTTGGTGAGCTGCAGATTATCTGCCCATCCAAATTAATCCATTTGCTGCAGATTCCAATGCCACTTGGTGAGCTGCAGATTGTCTGCCCATCCATCCCCGAGGCCCTGGATCTCCTGCAGGCCCTGCATCCTACCTGCCACACTTGTACCTATCCCAGGGACACCAGCAAGTTTAAATGGTCCTGGGTGTCTCTGTTGTGCCATAGAGTGACAGCAGGAAGTGTTTTTGGAAAAGTATTTGGGAGGAATCAGGCTGCCCAGAGAGGCTGTGGGTGTTCCATCCCTGGAAGTGTCCAAGGCCAGGTTGGATGGAGCTTGGAGCAGTCTGGGATAGTGGAAGGTGTCCCTGCCCAGGGGATGGAATGAGATGATCTTTAAGGTCCCTTCCTACCCAAACCATTCTGGGATTTTGTGATCCTGGATGTTTTTAGATACCATTTTGAATACCTACTTTAGGTAGAAATTCCCTGATATCAATGTACAGGACTCTATAGACTGTAGCCCTCTAACAGAGATCCATCATAGAGCAATCTGCCTTTGGTGAGATGAATCCACCCAAATAATTGGATTGGGGTTACAACTCCCAGGCAAATGTCACAAATCCCACACCAATACATGCCACCAGGATATTTTATGAAAAATCCCTTTGCCAGGATTTTTCTCCTGATAAGCTGGGAAGCTTCAGCTTCTCCATTTTGCTGCTTTGGAATGTGATTTGGAGAATTGTTTATCCCAGCATGTGAATTGTTTTTACTTGATGGCCAATCCCAGTCCAGCTGTGTCGGACTCTCTGGTCAGTCACAGGTTTTTATTATTCATTCTTTTCCAGCTTTCTGATGTATCCTTTCTCTCTATAGTTTAGTATAGTTGTAGTATATAATTTTCTTTTAATATAATATCATTATATAATAAATCAGCCTTCTAAGAAATATGGAGTCAAATTCATCTCTTCCCTCATTCTGGGACTGTTGCAAACACCACAACAAAAACACAGTGACACTGAAAGTTGGAGGAACCTTCCTCCCCTATCCAACGCAGACTGACAGAAATCTTGTGCATCTTCTTTTAACACTCATAGCCTGCACAGCCTGTAAATCTGCAGCCTTTGAGCCTTTTCCCTGAGCCTTTTTCTGTTGGTGGCCTTACCTGAAGAGACACAGAATGATCATGGCAGCCGTGAGGGCGATGAGGGACAGGGTGTGTCCGATGGTGTAGCCGGTCTTGACCGTTCCGTAGAACGCCGTTTGCTGGTGTGAAAGAAAGAACACAGAGCTTTCAAAGAGGTCCAAAAAATCCTAAATGCAGCATCGCTGACTGCTGGGACAAGGAAATCATCCTTCTCCACTCTCTTAAAACACCTCTGACTCCTTCGCCCTTTAAAATCGCCTCCAGTAGTACACGTGACTCGAACACCGCCGGTGTGAGCATGGAGAACTCATCTGGTTGCAGCAGGGCTTGGATCACTCCAAACCCAGGCTAAAGTTACACAAGGGAAAGGTTCATGCTGGAAGGAGGCTGATTTGACACCTGCTCCAGCCTAAAACCTCATGGAACAGGAGTGATCAATGTTTAGCTAAACAGTGCACGACACTGGGTCTGATGTGGTGAGAGCAGTCAGATTAATTTTATTCAGGAGGTCTGAGGGCAGAACTCTCTGGGAAATTGATTTGCTTTTGTGGGATTTACACTGTTGTTTCGGCAAGTAAGACGTTCTCACTGTTAACTCAGAAATATGTGTTAAGTTGGAAATTGGTTCGTGATTTTTCTCTTTGACAGCACATAGAGGGAATCCCTGAGCATGGAACACTGCATGGATTGGATCCAAGAGGGAATCCCAGTCTAAATAAAATGGGCAAATAAGCTCTCCAAAGCTCTCTAGCAACACTCTAAATCAATAGTTTTTGATTCTGCTGGAAGGAGGCTGATTTGACACCAGTCTAAAACCTCGTGGAGCAGGAGTGATCAATGTTTAGCTAAACAGTGCACGACACTGGGTCTGATGTGGTGAGAGCAGTCAGATTAATTTTATTCAGGAGGTCTGAGGGCAGAACTCTCTGGGAAATTGATTTGCTTTTGTGGGATTTACACTGTTGTTTCGGCAAGTAAGACGTTCTCACTGTTAACTCAGAAATATGTGTTAAGTTGGAAATTGGTTCGTGATTTTTCTCTTTGACAGCACATAGAGGGAATCCCTGAGCATGGAACACTGCATGGATTGGATCCAAGAGGGAATCCCAGTCTAAATAAAATGGGCAAATAAGCTCTCCAAAGCTCTCTAGCAACACTCTAAATCAATAGTTTTTGATTTCCAGCTTTAAAAAAAAAAAAGAAAAAATCAAGAGGTAAAATTATTTAGACACCCCACCATTAAAAAAATAATCTAAGTTTTTATGAGAACCTAACTCAGTTTATGGAAAATTTTATTTTTTCCAGCTCTTGACTGACCATCCTCTGCCCTTCTTGTGACAATCTTCTACAAAGAACCCAAACAACCAAAACCACAAAGAGCAGGTTAGGCAGAAAATCTAAACCCAACCTTGTTTGGAGAAATACTCTTCCATAACATTGAGAGCTGACATTTTTATGTGCTATTTTCCCAGGCTTTGACAAGTATTTGGTACTTTACAGAACCAGTGAGGCTGGGATGAGTTGCAATCCTTTAGCATTTGCACAAGCCAGCTTGGAGGGGGGTTCAAACAAGAGAGTTTTCAGAGATAACACTGGTCATATCTTCCACAGATCTCAGAGGTAGTTCAAGCACCGTGTCCTTCCAGCCATGTCACTGAGAGCTTTGGGTCACTCTGAATCGATAATTCAAAGGTTGCAGGATGATTTATCTGCCTGGTCTTGCCCAGGTAAAGCTCTGCAGGTGGGGCCTCACCTGAGGGGGGCAATGGGACAGAACCCCCCCTTTCCCTGCTGCCCAGGCTGTGGGATCAGCCCAGGATACAACTGGATTTCTGAGCTACAGGGGCACATGGTCAGCACATGTCCAGCCTCTCATCCACCAGCACCCCCAAGAGAAAATCTTCTTTCCAGCCTTCCTGGAGTTTGGGATCCCAAAAGCTCTGACTTTCCTAATTAAAGCAGTCAACCTCCCTCATGTTGATTTAATCTTTCTCTATTATCTCTGTTTTTGATGGCACCAGAGAAGAACTGTTCCAGGAAGGATTTGGCCAGCAGAAAAAAGGAGTTCGTGGTAGGGCACTGCAGGGGGAAGAGGTTGTCCCACACTTCATTTAGGAGAGCAAAGCAGGCCTTCTGCCTCTTAGAGTTATTCCCAGGAGCAAGCTATGCACAGAAGGTTCTTGGTGTTATTCAACAAGCAATTCCCTGCTTTTCCCCTCATATTTTATGGTGACAAATTTATCATTTTTGTGCAGAGAAGGATGGTTCTGCATGCAGTTTTAATGCAGGATGTGGGGTCATCTCTGCTCTGGAAACAGCACATAATGGCTTCTCACTCTTCACTGCACTTGCTAATGACAATTGGTTCCTATTTCAGAGATATCAAAGCAGAGAATTTGACCCAAGATCATAAATGGAAGTGAAATTTCACTCAGGGTCCAGATTATAAAATGTTCTTATTAGAAAAGAAAGGGATGCAGATAAGTGCAGGCATTGCATGCCAGGATGCCTGACTGTTTTACAGAATGAAATCAGGCAACTTCATCATTGTCTCTTTGACTTCTAAAAGCTTCTGCCTAATTTCACAGGAGTGTGATAATAACAATTATTTGAGGTAGGTGCTAAATTGAGATTAACTGAGATTTATTTTCCTTGGTTTCTATTCAGTAACCTTAACATTTGTCCCTTGGTTGACAATGGGAAACATTTACAAATTTGAAAGGAAAAGAAGAAAAATACTGATATAAAATCTTTCAGGAGCCAAGTGTTTTGGGGTTCATGTCTTCCAGCCCAAAGTCATTGGGGTTCCCTCGAGAGTAAATGAAGAGAAATTTCTTTGGAGAAAAATGTGGGCAGAAGAGACCTCTGGAGGTGTCTTTATTTCACCATTTTCAGGCAGAACCTACAGAGACCAGGCATTGCAACCCTGGATACTGAGAATTTTAAACTTTCTGTGTTGAAAGGCACAGATCCTCAAGAGAACACTGCATTTGACCTGAAGCCATAGAGAAAGCTTCCAAAATTGATGAATAACACAAAGATTATGAGTGTATAGTTTAAATAGAAGTGCGTAACATCACATAGTGGAAAACCTGGAGTTTAAAGTTTATAGTAATATATATAAGGCAAGATAGAAGTTTTAAAGCAGTAGCTAATCCTTCTTCACCTTCTTCTTCATGAGTGTAAGTAGTATTTTATAATTAGATAAAAAGTCCACATTGCAGACCACAAGTAGTTAGTAATTTAGTTAAAAATAAAAATAATTCAAGTGTCATTTCTTAATGAGGTGGTTTTTCCTTAAAAGGCCTTATAGAGATAAATACAAAGCCATTTTGTAACTTATTAGTGAAATGCTGTAAAACTCACAACTTACAAGACTACAATATAAACAAGAATGAATAAACATCTGAACTCAAACACAAAATACCATCTCTACGCATTTAATCCCGACCCTGACCAAAGCAAAAAAAAAAAAAAAAAAACCAAGAATAAAAAACCACAATAACCCTGGGGTGGCCCCTCTGAGCAGATGGAAACACAGCAGGGAGAAGAGCATCACATCTGACAGAGGAGCAGGATAACAACCCCACTCCCCACTTGCTAAAGCACCACTTTTAAAGGTCAGCTTGGAGAAGGGCTCATCATCACTGCACGGACCCCAAGAGCAGCACTTTGGTGCCCGCATCATCTGCTGCTTTAGGGACTGCCAGAATTCACAGCTAAAACCTTTCACCTTGCCTTTATTTATTTTTCATATTTTTTCTTGCTATTTCTGACCTGAGACCAAAAGTTCATGAAGTTTTTGACTCCTGGAAGCTTATCAGTCTTTCCTGGACCTCATGTCCTGTACAGCCTGCTGGTTTTTTTCTACTCCCTTTACTTCTTGCTCCCCAAACTCACTGCCAATTCAACAACAAGGAAACAAAAATCTATTCTTCTTCACAGGCTGCTACTGAATGTTCACCCCCCTCAGCCACCTTTCACACGAATCGGACTTTAACAGCAAGAAAAAAAACTGTGCAATCAAGGGAAAATAATTAAGAAAGCATTAAAAGAACACAATAGAGGTTCTCCTGGTAACACGGCACTCTGGCAACGCTGCACTCTGGCAACGCCGCAACCTGTTGGGTGGCAGGAGCATGTCCCAGAAATTCGCAAATGCCCTGTGCAGCAGGAACACAAACCAGAGCTCTGGGTGGGGGTCCTTGCACAGCAGAGCTGCTTTGGTTGGTTTCTGCAGGCACACAGCTCAGTCTGAGGGATGGACACTTGAGCATGTGAAGTGCTGGCTGACCCCGAAGGCAGACTAAGGCTCTCTTCAGCACAGTCCTCGAGTTCTTTGTGCACCTCTGCTTTTGCTCTTTTCTGCTTTCTTTCTCACTCAGAGCTGGCTCAGCTCTGCTCAGATCCCCTGTTAACTCTTGGAGTGCCTTGGCAGTGTGTGACCGTGCACAGAGACCTCTCACCATAACGAGTCACAGAACCCCAGAATGGATTGGGTTAGAAGGGACCTTAAAATCATCTCATTCCACCCCTGTCCTGGGCAGGGACACCTTCCACTGTCCCAGGTTGCTCCAAGCCCTGTCCAACCTGTCCTTGGACACTTCCCAGGATGGGGCAGTCACAGCTTCTCTGGGCATCCTGTGCTGGGGCCTCACCATCCTCACAGTGAGGAGTTTCTTCCCAATATCTCATCTAAACCTGCCCTCCTTCAGCTTAACACCATTCCCCTCGTCCAATCACTCCATGCTCTTGTGAAAAATCCCTCTCCAGCCTTTTTGTAAGCCCCCTTTAAATACTGGAAACAGACGTTAATTAATTATTGAGATTCCTTTGTCCAACATTCACTAACACTGGGGTATGTCTTAAACAGAAACAACAACAACAACAAAAGGATGAGCAGTGATTTAATATAAACACATTAACCTATTATATAAAAATATAAATACTGTAATGTGATTGCAGTGAAATATAACCTTCCATGCATAAGCTTTTTCTTGTTGACTGTGGGACTGCTACAGGTGATTAGTTTAGATTAGATGCTGAACTTTGAGTTAGGAGAGGTGAATCTTGCTTCTAACATTTGTTATCCTCTTTAGACTTTACCCCTCATGTCTCAGCATGCAGCAAAACCATAACAAACTCCTTCCTGTGGAGTGATAATACTCTGCAAAGCTAATTATACCTAGGTCAGTGATTGCTAATTTATACACAAACAATATCCCAGAGAACTTTTGGATTTTCTATCAAAATTTAGTAAAATTTTGAAAATGTGTGTTCCCTATTGTGATGTAGATATTTAGCTGGTTGAGATCTGCAGAGCAGCAAAACATAATTTTTATGCCTTTAGAGTTTTTGATGCTTATGTTGCCATAGAAAAATTGGAATCACCATATCTGCTTAAGCATAAAAATAAATGTGGAGGGCTTGTTTCAAAGTGCACTGTGGAAAATAAAACACCTGAAGTTATGTGTGGGCATCGCATGGGCAATGGTCTGATCTTCTCAGGTCCTGACATCCTGGAAATGTTGGATGTCCCATCCCTGGAAGTGTTCAAGGTCAGGTTTGGAACAGCCTGGTGTCCCTGCCCGTGGCAGGGGGTGGAATGGGATGATCCTGAAAAGAAGTTCCCCTCCATCCCAAGCCATTCCATAATTCCACCAGTCTATGACGTCAAAGGGAAGATCATTTCCTTGACCAAACATTTGAACTCTGCTCCCAAGGATCCTCAAGAGGATCCTTCCCTCTTGAGGAATCAGACGGGGAACGGGAAAAATTGGGCATGGGAGGATCATACAATTTGGATACTGATCCCTGTTAAATCTTTATGTCCACCCATCCAGGTTTACAAACCTCTTCCCCTGGAGTGCTGTTGGAATCGTATCCACAAGCTACAGCGTAGGGTGCAGGGTACACATCTGACCAGCCCTGGCTTGTACAATTCCTGGTCACATTCCCTGGAAGAAAAAAAAACAACCCATGATTTAAAAAGAAACCTTCAGCTCACTGTTAAAACAACTTCTGCCTCTTGTGGTATAAATGCCAAAGCAGAATTCTTGTAACACTTAGAGAAAAACTCTCATACTTTTCCCCTGTTATTAATTTTTCATATTACACAGAGCTTATAAATGGGAGTCACCTATTCTGTTTTAAAGTCCAGACCTCAGCAGAAAAGTACATTTTAATACAGAGGTGCACACAAAACATCTCTTCTAGTGGTACCATGCTGCCAGTTGTACCCAGACCTTTGGTTCCTGGCACTGCACCAGTATTGTTTGAATGTTTTATTGTCACACTGACTTTGTTCCTGGAAAATTTTTATCTAAACAGAGCAGTGAAGTATTTATGCCTTTCACTGTGCCTGTGAGAAGCCAGGACAGGTACAGATAAAGGGTTTATTTCACACCATGCGGATAAGGCTGGGGGTCTGGGAACTAAATCCAGTCCTCCACACCCAGACCTTGCCTACAACTGAGCCCTGATCAAATGTGATTCCTGGGAAATGTACTGCACTCTGCTTTGTGAACAGAACACTTCAAATTTTGGCTGTGAAGGGAGAAAATCCACACACTGACAACCTGTATTGCCTGTTTTAACTTGCATACTCCAGGGCAGGAAGATTTCCTGGACTGTCAAGCTCGCTGAGTGCCTGGGGCCTCTGACCAGCTAAAAAGAGCTTTAATTAACACAAGAACATCTCAGTCCCTCAGCCAAACTGTCAAAACTGAAGTTCATGTGGCTCTTTGGCACTCAGAACTGCCTGATCCATCCAGGATTGTAAGAGCAAAGCACTTCTCACTTTGTAAAACATCTCTGCTTCCTGTCCCAGCTGGACCTCAAACCCACATCAGCTTAATCCAGCAAAAGGAGAGACCAGCACTCAGGATAAGCCTTACCCCAAGAGGTTTGTAGGCTAAAAGGCCAAGATATGGGTTTGTCAGGAAATAACAAAGCAGAAGTGCACCCAACACTGCACATTGTAAATTCACCCAGCAGCTTCTCTGACCACCAGTGCCCACCTCACTAAAATCCCATTATTGAGGCATTCCACTGGTGCCATTCACCACACAAATCTGGAAAACTGGTCAACACACCAGAATGAACAAAGAGAAGTCAAGCCTTGCTTCTTAAGGTAAAACGCGACATCAGTGAAGCTCAAAGAGCTTTGCAATCATTTCCAACAGCAAAGCTCTTTGCACACAAGAGTAAAGAAAACTCCTGCATGTGGGACCAAATCAGTTATGCAGCTGTGAGTCACAAAAATATTTGAGTATCACCTCCAGCAATTTCTGACACCTGAGTCATCAGAGCATCTTCCCAACCACGGGCCTGCTCTGCCCTGAGATCAGCAGCAGACAATGCCCTGCCTGAAGTCACTCTCCAGTCCCTGTGACAGATGGATTTTGACATTAAACTTGCCCCTTTAATCTGTCTTTGTAGCAGATCTGAGTCCAGGAGGGCTCTCAAAGGTGCTTTTCTTCATTTTCAAGCTGCTCCAGAAGCAGAAAGTCCAGCACAGCTCCAAGGGCTGCTGTTCCAGGCTTTCCCTGCATGGCCACTGTTTGCAGTTCCTTCCACCAGGGTTCATGTCAGGATCATAAAGGATCTTGTGCAAACAAATCAAGGACATGACTGTGCGGTGCTTTCAGCTTTTCTGAGTTGTGCAATATCTGTTATTTCTCCTTTGTTACAATGGATCCCATTATCTGAACTTCACTGCTTCCCATTTCCTGCTCAAAACTCTGTTTGGGGATGGCTTAAGATTTCACGGTGGTTTTAAATCTTTGTTTCTTATTCTCAGTGAGCTAAGGTGTGTTTCTTTCGTCTAGTTTTTCTCCTATTTCTTCTTTTCAATTGCATTTCCTCACAATTTCGTGATTATTTAAAAACTCTCTCCTCTCTCAGTACCTTCAAAAATTGTCCCAATGCTTTAGCAGATGTGGAGACCAAGGCAGAAGGAAGAACAATGACAAAGCATCAGTGGAATTAAAAAAATAATAATAAAAATTACTCTGATTTTAGGGAAACTCACTTCCCAGAGAAGTTTTTCTGCCACCCTTTGCAGCTCATGTCACTTTTAGATGTGGAAATTCACAGACATGGTGTGATACAAGACACCTTTCTAAAACCTCTCATGTTCACCTGATGTCTGAGAGGTACAAAAAGTACAAGGTTAAAAAAACAAAGGTTTGATCAGACCACAACTTGCCTCAAGTAATGGATGATGTCTCTCATCAGACAAAACAACATTTCTAATTCCAACTATTTAAAATATCACTTTCTATACTGAAAATGAGCATAAAATTTGGGAAAGTGTCCCACAAGCTTAGCTTTCCTCTGAGGCTTACAGACTCAGGTTAGAGTGAAGCATCACACAGATTTTTATGTTGCAGTGTCAAATCCCAGCTCTGAATATCTCATGAAAATGAGATATTTTTTTGTTGTCTCATTGACTCTTGTTTCTTTCCAGACTTTGGTCATGATGTCTAATTATTTATCAATGGAAAGGCAATTTTTTCAAAGCAACAGAAGTCATATTTGCCATTTTTCAGAGCTGTTTCTCAGTAATTTGTGTAACACAAGCTCTCCCAAAAATGAGCATCAATGGACTACACTGAAAATCTGGAGTACATTGAAAATGACAGTAACAGAAAACACAAACTTTCTGCACTTGGAATTTATCTCCAGCCTTTCAAAGTTCACTAGATTTCCCAAATGTCCCCATTTCCTATCAGACAGGAGCTAAAATTTTCAAGCTGTACTCCTGGAGATTTAATGAGAAAGGAGACCAGGGGTTTATAACTCCACATAATTAGCAATGCAGAGTGGAGGAGATTCATTGAGAGATGGGAAGCATCCCAGTGCCAGCAGGTTTGTGCTCCAGGCTCTCCTCTGTGTTGTGGAAAAAGAAGAGGCAAGTCCCTGGTGAGAACAGAGTCCCCTCAATGTCATGGTATTAGCTAAAGCCATGAATTAATCTGGGTTTTTTTGGTGGATTTTGTATTTAATTTTATCAATGTTACCACTGTCAAAGTGGTGTGACTGTTCCTAAAAGCAACGAGGTGAGGTTTTCCATTAAAAAAAAAAATTGAAAAAGCCATGACTAACTCTAATTTATTTTGATAATAACCTCGTAATGCCTTGCAAGAGCTCAGTGTCCTGCTTTCTTTGCATCCCAGAATGTCTGAGGCTGGAAGGGACCTCTGGAGGTCATCTGGCCCCAAACCTTTGCTCAGGTGTGGTCACCTAAAATGGAAGCATGACTTCGAATCCTTCAAGGATGGAGGCTGCACAAGCAAATCTTGTCTCAGAATTTAGAACCATGAAATCATCAAGCAATGGTTTGGGTTGGAAGGGACCCTAAATCCCAGGTCCAACCTCCCTGCCATGGGCAGGGAACCTCCCAGGAGACCTCCTTGCTGTCACTGAGGAATTTCCTTCCATGATTTATTCATGACACAGCATAAGAGGAAGGAGGAGTTTGTGGAACAGAGATAAAACCAGAACATTTTCTTTATCAGAGGTGTTTGATCTGAGTGGGAGTCAAACACTGAACAGATGAACTGAATAAATGCACGGAGCTGTTGTCTTGCTCTTTAGGTTTTTTTTTTCTTACTTAATTTCTTTCTGCTTCTCATCTGTTTCAAACACACCCTTTTAACTCTGAGACATGTCTGAAAGTTCATGTTACAGGTGAAGTTTTACCTCTTTGATCTTGGAAAACCCTGTTATTGGCTTTTAATGGGAATTTGAATTCAGACAAAGAGATCTGAGGTCAATCATGGCTCAGGGGTGTTGGGTTTTGCCCCCCTCTTGCTTTCCTTGCCCTTTTCTGTAACAACTTCTAAAGCAGAGGGGAAGGTGTGCTCTGCCCAGCTATCACTGCTGCTTCTCCAGCACCATATTCCACGGACATAAATCAATTTTTTCAAGCAGAAATTATTAAAGCAGTAACACTTCTATTATCTACCATTCCCGAGACACCGCTGAGCCCACTGGCACATCTCTGCTTTCATTTTTGTTATTGATCTGCCCCACTGTTCCTGGGAAACACTTGAATCTTGCAGACATCTTGCACTTAGCTGGATGCTGAAGTGCTTAGGCCCGGGAAAAAACTTGTGGGGAAAGTTGTGGCCGGATAATTTCACAATTTGTTTCCTCTGCCTCAGTCGTGGTCACACAATATCATTCCTTCAGTGCAATTTCTGCCCACTGTTTAATGTTATTTTACATTTTTGTATTTCATAACCTCATGTCATTGTAGAACCTGTGGCATTGGGTCAGCACATCAAACAAGACCAACTTAATTTTCTCCCTTTGTTGTTTTTCACACCACTTGGCCTGCAGATATTGCTGCCACATGTCCAGTGCCCTGAAACTTCCTGCACCCCATTTTTGTGGCAAAACTCAATTTTCCCTTATTTTCCTTTGCCCTACCTGCGCATTTCACTTCTAAGAGCGAAGATCCTGATTCTTAATAAATACAGATAATTCTCCCTTTCTTAACAATAACAATGTTCCCCTTGATTAGGCACCTTTTATAAACTGTTTTTCTCATCCTAAAAACAGAGCTGTCAAATTTTAGGACAAAATTCTCATTAGATCTTTTCATCCTGCAATTATAGGATTCCAGGAAACATTTAGGAAAAAAATACGCACATTTTTGGGTAGAGGTGGAGGTGTAGCACCAATCCTTCAGAGGAGTGGGGCACAAGCATTGTGAGACCTCAGGTGCAAAAAAAATCATGGAATGGTAGAATGGCTTAGGTTAGAAAAGCCCTCTAAGGTGATAAAGTCCAATCACTAACCCCACACTGCCAAGGCCACCATCAAACCATGTCCCCAAGTGCCACATCCACACGTTTTTGAACACTTCCAGGGATGGTGATGCCCTCTCTGAGCCTCCTTTTCTCCAGGTAATTTTGCTTTTCTGATATGAAGGCACATGTGGACAGCAGAGAACCTGAGCAGGTCAAGAGTTCTCAGTGAAGAGAACTCCAAAAAAACCACACTCAACTTCTTGGGTATTTTAATGACCATTGTAGCAAATAAATAATGGGTATGGTTCATTTTGGGGTTCTTTAGAGAGGTGGTGTTGTCTTCTTCTCATCTGCTCTCTCTGCTCATCCCTATCCTCATTTTATTCAATTTTTGCTCCAATTTCAGAAGCAATGCAGAGTAAAAAGTGTTCACGAAGGAGGGGAAAGGAGAAGGGAAATAAATTTAGAACACCCAAGGAAAAAAGGAGTTTGGCAAGCCCAAAACTCAGATGGATCTCACCTCGCTGAGTGGGATTCCAGAGCTTGGTTGTGCCCATCCTCACCCCCTTAGGTCAATTAATAACAGAGCTGAAGCTCAAAAACGGTCAGTGCTAATTTAACTTGTGCATGGTGGACAATTTGCTTTTGGAGAAACTGTGAGACATAAATCCCTGTTACAAATGTCATCCATGTATGGAAGGAGAGCTGGAACACTCTGGTCAAGGGGTGGAAAGCAATGCACTTTAATAATGAAAGGTGCCAAAAATATTTTCATCCATCTCCCTCACATGGCGCTGATGAACGTCATGAAATAATGAAAATTTTCTGGATCTGTGAATGCCATAAAAAATTAATGTCAAATGACATCAGGACAGTTTAAGGTTTTTAAATGCCATGAGACATTTTATCCTTTATTAACCATGAGATGGGATATTAGTCATTTGAAGAGCTTATTCTCCATGAGGCAGGAAAATCACATTAACTCTTTGCTCCCTGGTATTTCACTCTTTTCCTGCTATAAACACATTAAAAAGATTTTCTCTGGCTCACAGCTTGATAAAAGCTTTCCTGTTCCTGCAAAGGGATCAAAGAGTACGACACAAACATTACCCAGATGATTGAGTTCCTTGAAAGCTGCTCAATGACACTCACTGCTACAAAGGAAGAGCTGCTTCACAACATTTAATGGCATTAATTTTGCAACAAATCCTATAAAACAGGAGGCAATCTTCCCCTCCCTTTATTTAAGACCATCACTGCTTTCCCTGTTTGTTGATGGTTGTGTACAAAGTGTCTGGCTCAGAGAGAATCAAAGCTGCTGCTTCTACTTTGGGGATGGCATCAGTTGTTGTGCTGGTGCTCTGCTGAGGCAGAATTCAATCCTGTTGGAAGACATTCCCATCTGCCAGAGCCACTCTGCAATATTTTGATTGTAAATGGAGAGAAATACAGGGTTTATGGACGGTATTAAACTCATCCTGGAGTGGGAATCAAAAAACCAGCTGAACTGTATCTCTAAAGGTGTTACCTATTTAAAGGTATCCAAGATGGTATTAAACAGGAGGAAGAGGCTCCAGGATGAGCCTGTTCCTCACCTCTGACTCCAAAACCAGCTCAGAGAGTCCTTGAGGTTTAAAAAGACCTCTGAGAACAGCAAGTCCAACCATTAATCCAACACTGCCAGGTCCACACTAAACCACGTTCCTATTTTTGAGCATTTCCCTTGGACAACGAATCCACCACTTCCCTGGGCAGCCTGTTTCACTGCTTGACCTTTATATATAATCAAATTATACACAATATTCTCCTCATCAGTCAGCTCTGGTGGGATGATGTACTAAAGAGCATTTTAAAGAGATTTTTATTGGTATTTTGCTAACTCTGCTGGTATATAAAACCCAGTGAGTGAATGCTGTGCTTCGGGGAGGGCACAGAGCAGGAACAGCAGGAAATTATTCCACACAGCTGATCCCATGCACAGGGGTCTTGTCCTGCAAGATGTGATATCACAGCAGCTTCTGCCCCTTCTCCCTGGGTGTTGACACAGGCGTGATGAGCTACAAGGGAATTTTGGAAATGAGGAAGTCCGTGCTAGGATAGTGTTGGAACCCTGGCTGCTGGGAATTTCAGATTTCTGTGCTGCCAGGCACTGACCCCCCAAGAGAACACTGCATTGACCTGAGGCCGTGGAGAAGCTTCCAAAATGGAATGACAGAACTGGGATTGTGGGTGTGGAGTTTGAATAGAAGTGTGTGATATCACAGGGTGGGAAACTCAGAGTTTAAGGTTTAGAATACAGTAATATAGATAAAGCAAGATGGAGGTTTTAGGGCAGAGGCTGGTCCTTCTTCACCTTCTCCTTCTCCTCATTCTTCTTCTTATTTTTCTTCTTCTTCTTCACCTTCTTCTCCATGGGCTTGGGTGGTTTTGTGTAATTGGATAAAAAAGTCCCCATTGCAGCCACGGGTGGTTGGTTATTGGGTTAAAAGTGAAAATAATTGAGGTGTCATTTGTTAATTGGACAGTTGATCCTTCAAAGGCCTTGCAGAGAGAGATGGGCTCCATTTTTAGTTTGTCAGAGTGCAGTGCTGCAGAACTCAGGGTTTGTGGGAGTGTGACATAGATAAGAATTGATAAACATCTGAGTCCCAACAAGAAATACTGTCTGGCAATTTAATTTCGACCCTGGCAGAAAAAAAGAAGCAAAGAATCCACAGGACAGGACTCCAGGGCTTTTTAATTTCCCTTCTGTGCCTGTAAGGAATTTTGGTGTGGCCTTGGGCAAGTCATGTAATCAGCATGTGCTGGTTAATGAATGCAGTGCCCAGATCTGTTGAACAGGGATGATATTGTGTTCCCACCCCCATTCCTAATTTATCCTGTGTGTTTGCATTACAAAGCTTTAAAAATTGAGGGTCAGCTCAATGCAGGATCTCCAGTGCAAAATAACTTAATTCTCTGTTAAGACCTTCAGGGCTTTTATAATAAAAATAGTGAAAAAACTATAAATTACCAGGAGGCACAATCAGCCCTTGCTGCACAGCCCCTTGAGACCTGAGTTTTAAACTAAAACTTCTCAGAACACCCTGAGGAGTGAGTTAAGGTATCTCCTCCATTAACCTCCCTTGCCCATTATTTGTCAGGTTAATTCCTTGGCCTGTGGTCAGATTTGTCACTCCAGCAGAAAAAAAACCCCAACTTTATTACGTCCAGTTCCAGCTTGTTCATTTTCTGTCAGAGACTTAATTAATGATTGTGCTAAACTGCTCATTTTGCACAACAAACACAACTGTTCCACAGGTTGATTCAATTTTCACTGCACAACATCCATATTATTGGATTTCACCAGGAGCCATTTTTGCATCCCTGTGGTCCACAGCAGTGCAGGGAGGATGTTTTCATGTTTGGGAATTCACGGATGGCTTGGAAACCTCCTTCACCTCGGGCTAAGAGCTGGTTCCTCCCTCTTTATTGAGAAGTTCCCCACGTGGAATGCTGAGAAACCCCGCTGGGAGTGAAGCTGTGGAGCTGATTTGGGATTTGCTTACCCAGGTAGGAGGTCAGGAATCTGAAGTACTTGGGGCATGGCCGCACCACGACTTCTCCCACCTCTGCTTCGGGCCAGCACGTGATGTTGTCCCACTGCCTCCTGCAGCCTGCAGAAGAGAGAAAAGCAGATGATGGAGCACTCAGGAGTGCTGGACGCAGCAGAGCAGCTCTGCAAAGGTGTGGAGGGCCCCTCACCCCGGCACAGGCACCTTTGGGAATGAAAACCCACTGAATATCTCCTTCAAACACACAGCTTTCATCTCCCCCAGTCCCTAAAACTCAGCACTGTAATTTTCCAGAGACCAGTATGGATAGAACAGCAGATAAGGGCAAAAAAATAAGGCAAATCAGGCTTGATACAAGAACAGTGTCTTCTCCTAGATTAAAAAGGCAGAAATTCCTAATTAAATATCTCTCTTCCTTGCCCTTGTTGCCCTGTTGTATTAAAACACTTGATCTGGACCTGTGAGACATTGTCCTTTCCTTCTGTGTTTCCCCCACATCCCATCATCTTTTCCTTCCCAGTGCAGTGACTGTGCAGCTCTCACAGCAGCAAGGAACACAGATGACAATCAAGGACCAAAATCTCTTCACCAGGAGCAGTTTTCTGCTTAAAAAGGGAAAAGGCACAAAACATTGCTGGAGGCTGAGCAGGGACAGTGCTGTGGCCAGGAGAGGATCCCTATGGAGGAATGAGGGAAGGTGTCACATCCAAACTGGGAATGAAGGAATAACCAGCATAGGGAGGAAAAATAAAAGGGTTTTGTCAAAATGAGGCACTGCTGAAGATTTTCTGTGTAGGATAAAAGATTTAGTGGAAAGAAAAATACCATGTCCTTTCCACAGATTTCTAATGTTTTGATTTTACCCTTTTATTTCTGAAAAGGCATTAATAACACCCCATGCATGCTGCATTGTTGGATCATGTAACATTAACGCTGAAGCCAAAAGGAGTTGGCAGGTTTAAATTAAAGAAAAAAAAAAAAGACTCAAACACATTTTTGCATCGATATGTCACCATTTGAGAGTTCTTAGCAGAATTTTGACATTTTTCCCCCTGCTTTACATTTCCAACAGGCAGGCACTTGAGTTGCTGCCTGGTGAGATGGATGGGTTGTCAGCACAGCTCCCTGTTTCCAGCACCTCTGCTCTCAGCTATTTGTCACAGCCCATCAGATGGAAACGCTCCCCCAAATGTGACTCCCGAGCTGTTGAGGTCACCAGCCCCACAGCAGAGAGCCTGGGGTGTGAGGAACAAAGGGGTGACAAAACACTGAGGAAATCCTTCTCAAGTGCCACCAAAGGGAATTCTGAGAACCCTGCACTTGTTGGTAATTACACCCAAATTCCTCCTTTAAATCATCTTTTACTCCTTGAGTAAGGGAAGGGCTGGTGCCATCACCAGGCAGATCTGCCTCAGATCAAGAGAGAACACACAGAAATGCTTTGAAGCTGAAAAAGAACCCTCAGCTGGCTTTCAAAGTGATTTTACAGGTTTTTCCTCCCCTCCCCTTTCACGAACAAACTGAACTTTTCAAATAATGAAGTCCTGAGCTGAGTTTATCAGAGCCTGAAAAATGGAATAACTGATGGTATCTCCTTCATGCAGAGCTCATTAAAAGTCAGGTTTCAGGTCCTTGTATCAAGTGCCCAGCTCAGCTCTCACAGCCTCACACTTATCTCCCAGCAGCTCCAACAGTGTCAGGATATTAAAGATTCCATGGAAAATGATTCCATGATGGAATATTTCACGTTCTACAATCTTTTCCTCTGTCAAGTGCAATAAATTAGAGTGCAGCCATTACCTCTTGATAGGTTATAATGCAAAATAAAAGCCATCTGATAGCATCAGATGGCTTTTTAAATGCCCTGAATTATGCACTCTGAGAGTTTTGGTGATCTGTATCTTTTTCTCTGTTGACATTTTTCAGCACCACCTGTGATGTGTGAAGAAAGCTTTTAGGTGCTCACTTTTGTATAAAAAGCTTTTTTTTTTTTTTTTCCTGATAAAAAGAAAGTGAAACTGGCCTTGCAAGGCGCATAAAGTGTATTTTTACAAATTATTGCTTCTGTAAACACACCTCATACCTGCCTTTTAGCTCTTACCACAACAATCTTCCTCATTGCTGTCCCAGACCTGCTGAAAATATTTTTGCAATAAATAAAGAAGGGAATGGAAAGCAGAACTCTGGCTGGCAGTGCCTGGCACCACAGGATCAGTGAATCTTGGAATGGTTTGGGCTGAAATGGTCCCTAAAGATCATCTCATTCCAAGTCCCTGCCACTATCCCAGGCTGCTCCAAGCCCTGTCCAGCCTGGCCTTGGACACTTCCAGGGATCCAGGGGCAGCAGCCACAGCTGCTCTGGGCACCCTCTTCTAACAGGGCTGTGTCTTTCTTGAGCTAATTATCTGCACTTCAGGAAAATCAGGAATTTTTAGTGAGTAGAAGAGAATAACTGGAGTTTAAAGAATTGGAACAAATGAAGATTGATACTGCAAAATGCTTTGCATGCACAGTCCAGTGCTGTAATAATCACAAGTGCAGGCAAAACTTTGTGCCCTTTCATCTGACCCAGCATACAGACAACATTTATTAAAGAGCCTTCCAGAAAATGCTTTTATTCATCCCAAAGATTTTATCCTGAAAAGTGCTGGGATTGGGGGCTTGGCAGGCAAAAAAAAAAAAAAAAAAAAAAAGTCTGAGAGCAGAAACAGCAGCACTGTGCCTTGAAGGAAGGAAATCCCTCCTTTCCCTGTGGCATCACTTGGATGCAGCAAAGATGACAATGTTGTGCTTGGAGATTGATAAGTGCTTCCCCATCAATTAATTAATTATAAATGTTGTGCTCTACCTTGCACTCATGTTTGCAGGGAGGCTACAAAGGTATTTCTCAATCCTCACCCAGTGCAGCAAGTGCCAATGAGTCAAAACCACACCTACTCTCCATTTCCATCAAAAGAGCTGCTCTGCTCACGTGCCTGCCCCAAAAACCAGGGGACACACACTGCCAGGGGCTGTGCTTTGCCTTGGGAAGGATCCCAGGTGAATCTGGAGGAGCTCTATAAAAATTAGTGTGGCTTTTCCAGGTCAGCAGCACTTACTCTGGGTGTCTCAGGTGCAGTCTTTAAACCCTTGTCATTATAAAAACAAACTTAAAAAAAAATTAAATAAGTATTTTTTTTTTAAACAAGAGGGTTTTCTTCCCATTTTAATTATTGTTAAAAAATTAAATAAATATTTTTTTTAAAACAAGAGGGTTTTCTTCCCATTTTAATTATTTTAACTGTGACTCCCACACCCTCAGCTTTGCCCTGCCCTTCCTTGCCAGACCCTGAAGTGCTCTCTGGGGCTGAATATCTTCTGGAGGGCTGCAGGGAGAAATCCTAAAGAAGCTGGAGCTCAGATCCCTCTACCCAGCAGCTCAGCCTTCCTCTCTGCAAGACAAATACCCCACCAGCAAGCCAAGGGCTGCACCAGCCTCACTCAGAGCCCTCCTCTCAGAGGTTCTGGCTCAGAAGTAGCTGCAAGTGACACAGTGACACAAGAGCTCTCATTTCCTATCCCTTTAAAAGGCCAATAAACAGAAAACAGGTCAGTTCTCACACTGGTTTGCAGAACTGGCAGACTGGAGCATTAAAAACCCATTTATTGGATCCATATCTACATTTACAGCAAATTGTGGTCAAAGCTTATCTAGGAAGCAGCAGAGAATAACTTTGCCTCATGAATAAACATGAATTCCAGAGCTTTGGCACAGCCCTGAGATGGGACCTGGCTGAGGAAAGAGATAAATGGCAGCAGGCTGGTACCAGGCACTCTCTGAAGCCAGCAGAACTCCCAGTTCAGGGAAAAACCCTTTCAGCACATCAGTCTTTCACTGAATCATGGAATTATTCAGGTTGGAAAAGACCTCCAAGGGCATCAAACCCAACTTCTGATAGCACACCACCCCCAAAGCCTCACACCAAATTCTCCCTCATGCTTGGGGTAACTCCAGGTCTCTTCTGAAAGACATTCCCCCACATTTTGCTCTTGGAATCCCTGTCCAGATGCAGGGGTGCCCATTTGACACCTGGGGTGTCTCAGGAGCTCTCAGCACCCTCAGGGATCACAGCAAGGCCAAGGCACAGCTCAGTGAAGCCAGGCTGAGCTATCCCAGGGCACCATCACAGCCTGGTGTTCTGCAATAAAATCTCATTTTCGCTCCAATTTCATACCAGCAGGCAGTTTCCAAAGCCTCAGGACTGTAAACAGCCACGGGGTGACATTTATTGTCCCCCTGACAAGCCCAGCCTTGTGGCTTGCCTCGTTAAAAGCATCTCATTACAACCAATTATCACAGCATCAGTCTCCCTGTCCCAGCTGAGCTCTGATCTCTCCCTGACTGAAAGGACAGACCCCAAAAGATGGTGCCTGCCACAATCCATAGCTCAGCAGCACCCAGGCAGTTTGAATTTAATCTCAGTGGAGGAAAAGCCACCATCAGCCCTGGGTCACTGCAGCCACCACAGACCAGAGACCTCCCAAATGAGGGATAATTTTCTATTAGAAAGTTGTATGAAATATAAAATACCGTAGATAGATTATTTTTTCTCCCATAAGTCTTGGCAATTAAATGTAATTGGATTTAATTCTGAACCCAGGAAAATTGTTGGAATTCACAACCTCTCGTGTCAAGGCACTGCACAATTTACATGCCCACTGACAGAAACATTCTATCCTTTGCTGAATTCATTTTGAACCTGCTCATTGCTTCTTTCACTAGGAACTGCTCAGTTCTTTTACAAAGACAGAAATATTCACAGACTAACCACAATATCCCTTTCCCTGGGGAGAAAACCCATAAAACGCTCTTTAACATCCCTCCTCGGGCTCTCTTTTTCAAGCTGAAGTGTCCCAGCCTATTCAGTAGCTTCCAGCATGGAAACAGCTCCCTGTCATTTCTCCCCTGTATCTTTGGTGGGTTTAATTCTACCCCATCCTGCCCTGGGATGTTTTACCCTATTTTTCTGTGACAGATTGGGTTTGACTGGGGTTAGTTTGGCTCTGAGGTGCCACTAAATGCATCCCTTGCAGAGTAGGGTTTTACCCTATTTTTCTGTAAC